AACCGGATATTCATTTTATTACAATTAAACCATGTTAATTTTTACCTGCGCCTGGTAACCAGCTCTTTGCATCCCTTCTGTTTTGGCGGCAAAATTTTAGCCAAATAGGGTTTAGTCTGTCTCCTTCTCCTTTTGGGGGCTAAACCCTAAGCCCTAACTTTCCCTTCGCACTACGTACTTGACCACTCCCGTCATTCCGGTTCCAGGGTTTTGTCGTTAGAGTTGCTCTTAGATGCTCGATTCATTGAATTATTAACTCTCCTTCCATGGAAGGACCGGCTCCCTCTAATTCCCCTGTAATTAAGCTCATACACAAAGGCGTTGTCCACAGAATCTGCGCCGGTCAAGTCATCTTAGACCTCTCCTCCGCCGTCAAAGAACTCGTCGAGAACAGCCTCGACGCCGGCGCCACCAGCATCGAAGTCGCTCTCAAAGAGTACGGAGAAGAATCGTTTCAGGTCATCGATAATGGCTGCGGTATTTTACCCAATAATTTTAAGGTAAATAATATACGTTAGCAACACAAATTTGTCACCACTTCTTTGGCTTCATCTTGATAATTTTAAATTATTTATTTATTATGTTTTGTAGGTCGTGGCGCTTAAGCATCATACATCTAAGCTTGCAGATTTTTCAGATCTTCAGTCTTTGACTACGTTTGGATTTAGAGGGGAGGCGTTGAGTTCGCTTTGCGCATTGGGCAATCTGACTGTTGAAACGAGAACGGCAAACGAATCTGTTGCCACGCATTTGACTTTTGATCATTCAGGTTTGTTGATAGCTGAGAAGAAAACAGCTCGACAAGTTGGTACTACTGTCACTGTGAAGAAGCTGTTCTCGAATCTACCAGTGCGAAGCAAGGAGTTTCGTCGCAACATACGCAAGGAGTATGGCAAACTTATTTCCTTGATGAATGTGAGTGTATCCATGCATGTCAATAGCTTTAAAAAAAAAATTTTATTACTTGTTATCTAGGTTCATTTTTTATGCATGGACTAAACAACGTTGGATCATGGTTGCTTTGTTATGCCTATTGGCGATTGTGTATTAGGTTTTAAATAATGTGTTAATCTGAAATGCTATACCTGTGTTAAGACAAAGTCTATTGAATTTGTGGATTTATATGTTCATGTGCTTTGTCATTGATTTAAAAGGACTGCTTATCTGTGAACCTGTTTATATTAAGACTTGTAATTCAATTTCATTCATTCTCGGCAAAGCATTGAAAAAATAATGCTTATGATTGGAGACTTTGTATTGCTTATTGTTCAGATGTTGTTTGCATTCCTTGTAGTCTCTTGCACATGATTTATGGTGTCATCCTTACCATATTTAGATGCATAATGATGCTGTAGAATTATTGATTTATGAAGAGTGTAATGTCTTTAACCGTGGTGACTAGTCATCTCCTGTCTTTATTAAGAGTTAGGAACCCCTTAAACATAGCTACATGGTATGTCTTCACCAAGTTGCTTATCACTCTTCATTTCTTTTTGAATTTTGTGCATAAAAGGATATTATTCTCATGTTGTGTAAATACAGGCCTATGCACTTACAGCAAAAGGAGTTCGGTTAGTCTGCAGCAACACAACTGGAAAGAATGCAAAATCTCTGGTAGTTAAAACTCAAGGAAGTGGTTCCCTTAAAGATAACATCATACAAGTGTTTGGCATGAACATGTTTAGCTGCTTAGAGCCTGTGTCTATATGTATATCAGATGGCTGCAAAGTTGAAGGGTTTCTTTCCAAATCTGGACAGGGTAGTGGCCGCAATCTGGGAGACAGACAGTACTTCTTTGTAAATGGTAGACCAGTGGATATGCCTAAAGTCAGCAAGCTTGTGAATGAGTTATATAAAGGTGCAAACTCTCGGCAGTATCCCATAGCCATAATGAATTTTACTGTACCAACTAGAGCATGTGATGTCAATGTGACTCCTGATAAAAGAAAAGTATTTTTTTCTGATGAAAGCTTGATTTTGCAATCTTTGAGAGAGGGTTTGCAGCAGGTATATTCCTCAAGTAATGCCAATTTCTTTGTTAATAAAGTTGAGGAGAACTCTGAGGAAGCTCATTTCTCTGAGCCTCTACTGGAAAAATCTAATATCCTTCCAGAACAGTTATCTCCAGTTGGAATCAATTCAAAAGTTTCCATGAGGGATCATTCTGCAGAGGACAACACGTCTCTTAGAACAGTTAAAATAAGCACTCAGAGTTTGCCTTTATCAGAAGGATCAATTGCTAGTGATGAAGAGAACTTATTAAGGAAGGGCTTCACTTTAAGAGTACAGGGAACAAAGAAAGTTGATGGAATTGTAGAGTTTAATGGTGGGCAATTGACAACTGACATGGATGGTGCAGCTAGCAAAGATTTATCAGGAGGAACAATCCATAGTCATTGTGAGAATTCATTTAGGAAGGACTTCACTTTAAGAGTACATGGAACTAATAAGGTCGATGGTCTTACAGGGTCTAATGATGGAGGATTGACAACTCAAATGAAAAATATACCTAACAAGGATTCTTCATCCTCTTCAACTGCAATTGGGAAAGGAATTGCTGTAAGTAGATATTCTAGTAGTTGTTCAGGCAGTGTTCAATCATCACTGAGCAAATTTGTAACTGTAAGTAAGAGGAAGCATGAAAGCATTAGTACTGTATTATCTGAAGTTCCTGTCCTAAGAAATCAAGTTCTTCATTCCCAATTGACGAGCAGCCATTCAGAAATGCATGCTTCAGGCACAAGAGATCGAGTTGATGACTCTTCAGAGGTGAATGAGAATGAGCCATGCAAGTTTCTCAGAGCAGATAGCATCTTGGATGAAATTGAAAATCCATGCTCTCCTAGAAGCAACACTAATGATGGAAAACCTGGAAAGGTACATGGATCTATTATCTGTTCTTAACTTGGTCTGTCCTGCTTTACCGGTCAAGAAACAAAAAGAGAAAAAGTAAAGCTCAATACATTAGTTACTGAGAATGAAAGTAAGTGCAACTAAATTTAGGAAAAATCTGTAGAATCATATCAGAGAAGGTGGCGTTTTCCTTTTAGAACAAATTGTTTAATTTATGCTCTCTGACTCTTCTATTTTCCGATCATATCCATGTCAAACATATATCAGATGCCTCAAAAAAATAAAAAAATAGAGTATTTGATTATAACGATACAAAAAAACTGTATCAGACATAGGTATCTGCAACGCATCTGCCCTTGTTAAAGCAACCTAGGTAGAAATCCTTGTTAGGGTGCAATCGTTCATAATCATGAAGATTGACCCCAAAAGTCTAATTGTTGTCAATGTTTCTATCTTCTGATTTCAGCTAGTTCTTTTGCAGGAATTAGAGGATCAAGAAAAAGCAGTGCCTTCTGCCGATATAAAATTAATTGATTCATTTCGCAAGGATCCTGAGGATATGCCTGAAAAAGCATCCATAGTTAAAACGTCAAAATCTTCATCTTCTGCTTTAGTTGTAGATGTTTCCATACCTTCATCTGGTCAAAAGATATGTTCCACCTTGCAGTTTAGTTTTCAAAACCTATTGACAAAAAGGCGGCAGAAGATGTCAAGACTGTACAGTGGTTCCGGATTTCAGAACATGAAGACGAAAAGGTCTATGAAATAAAAGCTTCATATCCATGTTGCAAAAGTAGTTATCCAGTTCTGTTTCAACTGATTTGATTTTTCATTATTGCCAATAGGTGTTATACTCTTGCGACACTTGAGCTCTCTCAACCAGAGAATGAGGAGCTAAAGAAACAAGCTATAGCAGCAGCTACTAAAGAGTTGGAAAAACTTTTCAAGAAAGAAGACTTTGGCAGAATGAAGGTTTTTATGCTATAAATACCTTTTCTTATCACACCATTTTTTTAATCAATTTTTGTCTTTTGTTCTGGTGGCTCTAGATTCTTGTGGGAAACACTCAGCTGCCTAGCTTATGCTTTTTGCAGGCATGCATGAATTTCTTGAAAGCTAAATTCATACAAGTTTGGTCCAGTTGATTGGAGTGAATATATAGCAGTGTGCTTTACATTGATGCTACTGAGTTGGTTTTACAATCTCTGGTTAGAGTTGGATTAGATTTTGGTTAGGTTTCAATTATGAATAGCATGAACTCAACTTAATGGCTCTTGTGAATTGTTAATAACATTGATTACTAGGCTGCTTTTTTTTCTGACCTATCAGAAGCTGTGCAAATCTGAAACTGTGGACATGGTGGCTGAATTTCAACATGCGTGAACTACTATCATGTTAATTTGTATTGACCAATAGTTGCTTCTTCATAGGTGATTGGGCAATTTAATCTTGGATTCATCATTGGCAAGGTAGACCAAGATTTATTTATGGTGGATCAGGTAATATCTGAGCTGACTTTATTTTCTCATGCTTGCCTGATTTCCACTTTCATATGGAGGTATTTCTTTCCTTGTCCTCTTTGTTAATAAGTAAATAAAAAAAAATAAGATCTCTGTATTTTCAGCATGCTGCTGACGAGAAATACAACTTTGAGCGTTTGGCTCAATCGACCATCTTGAACCAGCAGCCTTTGCTTCGGTGAGGAATTAAAACCTTATTTAAATACTTATTTTGAAATGATTGTTTTCTCATAGTTGAGATGCTTGGTATACTTTTGCTTAGTTGTGGAAGAGGGATGTCAAAGAAAAGAAAAGTGTAATATGCCCATGTCATAAGCATCTCCTTTTACATCTTTAGCAAAACGTCTGGCACGTGGTATAATGGCGTTATTTTGGTGTTGTTTATAGGTATAACAGTTGTATAATAATACAGTGATAATGTTCATCATCTACTAGAAGTTTGAATATTTTCAGCTTTGAAGTTTTTCATTAAGGGGTGGGAACTTGTATGACTATGATTATATTCTTTTCATTGCTCTGAAGCGTCATTTAGACTAGTAGATTTAATTGATTAGGAAATAACAGAATACAAAAGTGGCAAGGTGTTCAACTATATAACATATGTTGTTTCGGATTGGTAGTCCAAGACTTGCAGCTTACCTGTTTCCATTTATTTTCCTATTATTTTTCTGCTTATGAAGATCATTTTTATTTCCAATAGGAGTTGTATTCTGAACTTGACTTCCAATTGTATACAGGCCACTGAGATTGGAGCTATCTCCTGAAGAAGAAGTAGTTGCTTCAATGCATATGGACATAATCAGGTTCAATCTTCTATTGTTTGTGGTGTCTCTAGTCATTTATCATTTGTATGTTCTATTCTTTCTGAATCCTTTGGAACTTCAGTTTACATATGACATCTCTGAAGCAAAGCAGCTTTGATGAAAATCTACTAATGGTGCTTTATTAATTTTTTATCTCATATTTTTAGGAAAAATGGGTTTCTTTTGGAAGAGGATCCACATTCCTCACCAGGGCATCGTTTTAAGCTCAGAGCTGTTCCCTTCAGTAAAAACATTACTTTTGGAGTTGAAGGTAGTCCTTGTTTTCAGTGTTCTTATGTCTTTAAGTGATCAATGATCTTTATTCAAGCAAATTTACCCCTTTACGGTATACCGTTTTAAGTACTTCATGTATGTGATTAGAATTTATTATTCACAGTATTTGACTCGCAACTAATTTATTTGGAAACGGACATGATATAAGATGTAAATGTGAACATGGCAAATTTAAGAAAAATGGATATCGAGATGGTCGGAAACAGAATAATAAATATATGACTAAGTATGGCAAGTTTTGGAGCTCACGGCACATTGACAGATGTAAAAAAACTGTGCATCTGAAAAAGAAAGGCATCCAGTAAAGGGGCACTAATTTTCTTGGATAAATTGTGAAAAAATTATTGGCATTTTATAGACATGTTCCGAAATTTGACTTGTCATTAGAATATGCACCTGAATAATATTTGTTGACAGACTATTGTTGTTCCATGCAATGTAATGATGTATTTCTCAAAAGTAAAAGCATTTAGAGATTGTCTGCACAAACATATTGATTATTTGATATCTATATAAACAGATGTCAAGGATTTGATTTCTACTCTTGCTGATAGTCAAGGAGAATGCTCAATAATCAGTAGTTACAAAATGGACACATCTGATTCTGTTTGCCCAACTAGAGTTCGTGCAATGTTGGCATCTCGTGCTTGCAGATCGTCTGTTATGATTGGAGATCCACTTGGACGAAATGAAATGCAGAAGGTAACAACCATCTTAGCCTGCACTGACCTGGACTTTTCTCATAGTGAAGCATGGTATTTTATAAATGCACATATGCTGTTAGCTAGCATATATAGGGTTTTAAAAACATGTGTTGGTGTGTCTCCACTCGGTGTTTTAGCCAATTTCTAGGACTAGGGATGGGTGTTGATCATTTGGCAGCAACTTCTCTATCGTTGGAGCCTATTACAAATTTTCTGATGTCAAGGTTCTCAAATGATGTATGTTTGTTGAAAATTCCTTGGTTTAGTTACAAGGTCACAAGTTTTACGTGATTTCTTCAGATAATTGAGCGTTTGGCAGACCTGAAGTCTCCTTGGAATTGTCCACATGGCCGGCCAACGATGCGACATTTGGTAGACCTGACAGCCTTAAGAAAAGGAGCAGATGTAAATGAGACAAGGTCTTGATTGACCTTCCATGTGGTTCTGCTGCAGGGTCTTCTCTTAACTTATTCTGTATACAGTTTCAATTTATTCCTCATCTTGGTTCAGGTATGTTGTGTCAACTTTAGATGTCCGCTAGTGAGCGGTGACAAGCGCTGGAACGTACATACTGCATACCAGGAATGGCCGTTTGTTGGGTTCCTTGAATATTTTCATGGTTTTCATTTTTGTTAAAGTAATGTACATACTACACTACACAGCCAAAGATGAACACAAGACTTAATTCTGATGAAATTACTCAAAACTAGCCTCCAAGCATCAAGATGAGAAAAATCGACGCTAGTTAACAAAAGATTTTCTTGACTTGCTGCTAACTGGGAAAGTACTCATCAACAAGGTGAACTAGTTTGCAATTGCGACGCAGATTTGCCTGCCTCTGACCGGACGACACTTCAGATCATATCTCACCCGAATTGGGAACATTGGATTCCAAATCTCTTTCTTATTTGCTTTTCCACTGCTCTTTTCTTCAGTTTTATCTTGTCACATTAAGCCTCAACAAAGGCGTATATATTTTGAGTAAAATATAGTACTAGTATATCTACGTTTCTCTTTATTAATTTGATTATCCTACTTAATTGTGTATTTACATTTTATAGGACTAACACAAGTTGTTATGTAAAATGTTTTTCAAATTACCCTTTACATTTTAATCAAAAGAAAAAGATATTAACAATTATCCTTTATATATTATTATGGGCCAAAAAAAATGATATTTAACCTTTTAAAATCTTGTACAACTAACAAACGTTGCCATTTTAATAAAAAAAATTTTGGAAAAACCTTGGGCGCTAATACTCACATCACATGTAAAAATAAAAAAATAAAAGGCAATCAAACGTTTTGTTTTTATTTTAAATTCTATTATTTGACATTTGACCTTATCATAAATAATTAAAATGTTTTTCAAATTGCCTTTTATCATTTATTTTAAAGAAAAAGACAATAACAATTGTCCTTTTTTTTTTCCCCAAAATGAGATATTTTAACCATTTAAAATCTTAATAAAAATTTTAAATAAAAAGAAAAGGAAGCTTTGGAGCTGGCTCTTTGCATATCGCATTGCTTTAAAAAAAAAAAATAGAAGGTAGTCAAATATGGTAAATTCTATAATAAGATCATCATTTTAAATCTTACTGTAAGGTCAATTAATAAAAATCATCAGATCTATAAAATTAAATTACAGTCATTAATTTAAAATTTATAAAAAAATTGTTAAACTAATTCAACTGGTAAATAAAAAATTTTCTTTTTGATCGACTCTTTTTATACCTTATTAATAAAAATTATTTATTTGCATTTCTTTTATTTAATGGTTGAAATTTCATATTATAAATAAGATTATCATTATAATAAATCAGAAAGTCAAAATTCAAAATATATAATAATAAAAATAAAAACATATATAATTTAGAATTATCATTAAAAAACCTAGACATCAAGTTTTAAAAGTTATGATTAAAAATCTTTAAGGTAAAGCAATAAAAAACGACATAAAAACTTATAAAAGTGGAATAACTAAATTTAAAATCGTAATGTGAATGTGTAAAAGTTAACGTAACAAGTTAATTAAAAAAAATTAATTTTAATAAAAAATAAATATTTAAATTTATATTTTTAAATTAAAATTATTTAACAACATATAAATTTTAATTTTTAAATAATAATAATAATAATAAAATAATTATAATTCAAAATTGATATAGATAAGCCTTAACGTAAAACTGTAACAATTGACGTAAAAACTTATAAAAGTGGAATAACTAAATTTTAAATCTTAATACAAATGTATAAAAGTTAACATAATAAGTCAATTAAGTAAAAAAATCTAATTTTAGTGAAAAATAAATATTTATATTTATATTTTCGGATTAAAAGTGTTTAACAATATATATATTTTAATTTTTAAATAAAAATAATAAAGATAAAAATAATTATAGTTTAAAATTAACATAAAAAAGCTTTGATATTAAATTATGAGAATTGACGTAAAAACTTTTAAAAGTAGAATAACTAAATTTTAAATCTTAAAATAAACGTGTGAAAGTTAACATAACAAGTTAATTAAATAAAAAAATTTAATTTTAATGAAAAATAAATATTTAAATTTATATTATCGGACTAAAAATATGTAATGATATTCAAATTTTTACTTTTAATAAATAATAATAAAGATAAAAATAATTATCATTTAAAATTGACATAAAAAAGTTTTGACGTAAAACTGTAAGAGTTGACGTAAAAACTTATAAAGGTAAAATAACAAAATTTTAAATCTTAATATACATGTGAGAGAGTTAATGTAATAAGTTAATTAAGTAAAAAAGTATAATTTTAATGAAAAATAAGTATTTATATTTATATTATCAGGTTAAAAGTATGTAATAATATTTAAATATTTATTTTAAATAAAAAATAATAAAAAAATTATTATATTTAAAAGTTATTATTGAAAAGACTTGACGTAAAGTTATAAGAATTAATATAAATTTTATAAAAATGAAATAAATAAATTTAAAATCTTAACATAAATGTGTGAGAGTTAATGTAATAAGTGATAATAATAATTTTTATTATATTAATTAATTAAATATAATTTTAATATTAAAAAAATAATATTTTTATAGTTTAAAATAAAAAATAAAATAAAATTAAAAATTAAATAAATTTAAAAATAAATTAAATAAATTTAAAAATTATATATATTATTTACCTGTTTACCTGGTAAATAAGCTTTTATTATTTTTTAAAATTTTTATTTATTAACTTTACATTAAGATTAAACTTACTGTAGCAGTTACCAGTCCAATATACAAGAAAAAGTATTGGCCGAAGCCCGGCTGGACACTCGAAGCATAGTCGATATTAGGACAGTGAGATCGAAATCGAATTAATCCAAAGCCGAAAGAAAAAACAGTAGGATCGAATAAAAGCCTAGTTGTTTATCTCTCTCCTCAGCCCTCTTCTACTCTTGTGGTATTTTCGATTTCCTTTGCCTTTTTTAATAGGGTTTTAAGCCGATAACCTTTTTGCCTCTTTTTTCTATTGTAGCAAAGGCTTTAGATACTTGTACTTCTTCATCTCCGATTTGTATAATTCACATTAGCACAGGCTAGGGTTCTAGACTAAAGCTTAAAATTGTTCTCACGTAAATCCTTTGCTTTCTCTTACCCTTTTTAACATTGTTCTTGACCTTTTTTTAATTTCCTTTTTCTTGATTCGCTAGGTTTCTGCTTCATTCAGAAAACAGAAGATGGTATGTTCCTCTCTTTTTATCTTACGTTATTTGTCTGTTTGGTTGCTTAGAAACCCAGGAAAACTGGGAGAAATCGAAAAATTAAAAAAAGAACGTCTTTTTAAATGCTGTTAAAGGGTTTGGGGGTTAATTTTGGTATCGGTTTACGGTGTTTTTGACTATTATATCTTCTTTCGTTGGCTAACCCAATTTCTATATGTGAACCTTGGGCAGCTTCCTCTTTCTCTACTAAAAACTGCACAGGGGCATCCTATGGTAAGCGCATTATTTTCCCTTCCATGCTCTGCTCAAATTACCGTGCAAAAAGGTTGCTCTAGTTATTAATTATTAAACAACTTGCGTTTTTCCTATTCACTAACAGCTGGTAGAACTGAAAAATGGGGAGACCTATAATGGGCATTTGGTCAATTGCGATACTTGGATGAACATCCATCTTCGTGAGGTTATCTGTACTTCTAAGGTAGAAATATGAATTCATTTAAATGTTTCTTATTTTGTTTTTCTTTCTAGGAATAAAAGTAAGATGCTTAGCTACATAAATAATGAAAAAAATAAATAGAAGTAAGAATGCTGTCTTGTTTTTTTCCTTTTTAGATTATGGTTGGGGTTTGATTGAAAATTTAATGTAGGATGGAGACCGGTTTTGGCGAATGCCTGAATGCTATATCCGTGGAAATACTATCAAGTATCTTCGAGTTCCCGATGAGGTACCCTTTACTCCCATATGCTGTTATGTTTCTTTACTTGGCAAATGTAGGAGTATTCATCAAATTATTAACTTCATCCACTCTGTTGTATTTTATAAATGCTTCATGCTTAGTTCTCTTCAGCATGAAAGCATAGATTGGATTTTTATCTTTCTTTGCCTTTTTGGTGTTAAAAGGTATCCTTTTATGAAAATATCTGTCATCTCTAAATGACAAATTCTAGATCTTACTTGATCACCTTTGGGTTCCATTTGCCGAAATTTTAGGTCTTAATGCACTTTCAAATATTGTTGCTTGGTTTTTATTATAGTTGTCATGTGCTGTGCTCTTACCCATTTTAGTAACTTTACCATTGAATTTCAGGTAATTGATAAAGTTCAGGAAGAAACAAAGACTCGTGCAGGTATGATTCAATTCTCTTGCTAACTATTAATAGGGATGGATAATCATCTTAGTATTGAAATTAAATAGAAACATTTGGGTACAAATGGTATATTTCTCTGAAGAGTTGCATTGCGACAATATATACTACATGTTCTATGGTGTATGTTGCAGTTTGAATTGTGTTTGGCAAATTGTATGCTGAATGTAATGTAATTTCCTATATTCATAGTCCACTGTGTTTCCATATTTGTTGTTTTTGTCTGCTTCATAGAACTATTCTTCCTGCTTTTTCCTTTGTCTTCTTTTATTTTGTGTATCCTGTACATCTAGAAAACTGCCCTTAGAATTTGGTACCGACTGTGACTGTGTGCAAATCAAAACTTTTCTCTTGAAGTTGATAATGTTAATTACATTTGAGATTTATGCATTTGAAAACTGGAGCTCTAAACTGCCTGGTTTTGCTGACTTTGCAGATAGGAAGCCTCCTGGTGTAGGCCGTGGCAGAGGTAGAGGTAGAGAAGATGGTCCTGGTGGAAGGCAACCAAAGGGAGTTGGCCGTGGGCTAGATGACGGTGCTAAGGGTGCAGGTGGAGGCCGAGGTAGGGGTGGTGCAGGTGGAAAGACCAGTGGAAATAGAGGTAAAATGCTGAAAAAACAGCTGCACAAGTGTGTGCGTGTTTGTGTGTTTATGCAAAATGCATTTGTAGCTCAGCATATTATTGATTTATCTGTCATATCTCGCATAATATTTGGTACATTCATACTAATAGACTGCCCTTTTCCTTCCGGTGACAGGTGGTGGCCGAGGTCGAGGCTGATGTGATGGTGCTTTGTTTTGGGGTGACTTTGCCACTTTTAGAAGCATGTTGCATCCAAATGACTCAAGTTGGGTTCTTCTGTTGGGTTAATTCTATCTGTGATCGTCTTAAGTGCCAAACATAGGTAGCATTGCAGAATTCAGTCGAGGACCTTGTATTATGGTTTATCATTTTACCTTACTGCCCTTTTCTTGTATTGAGGTTGTAGTTTGTAAGACAATTTTCTCTGTTAAGTTAATGCGTTCAAGTTAAATGATTATCTCTCTGCCTTTTTGTGTTGGGCACTTGCTTCAGACTTTCGTGCCTACTAGTGGAATGAAGTTATTTAATTTTCTTATAGATATTCAAGTTATTTATAGAGCTTTAAATCTGTTGTGATAGCACACATGTTCCTCCTCATATGAGGGGAAGAGAGATGGGAATTGGGAAAAGGGTAGGTCGCAAAGGGTGGTAAGCTCCCCGTTACAGAAGCTAATCTGCTCAAAAACGAATGTAACAATTTCCTTAAACAGTATAAGATTTTCATTTTCGAGTACGTTGCAATATAACAGTACCGACAACTCCAAACTTGTTGCTCCAAACTTGTTGCTAGCTGGAAAAAGTTACAAGGCTATCAGATGAGAAAGCGTGAGCTGAACAGTGGATATTTAGTAGGGATTATGCCTACTTTTTTTGCGATTTCTTGGTGACTTCATGACCAAAGCACTCGAGATCCAGGATCGATTGATCTCTGAGGAATCATCAGCCATCCAACAACACAAGCGACCATCCTCACCACCAGTCCAACCAAAAATGCCTTGGCTTTGAGCAGGCTCACTCCTCATGCTTGACATAGGCAATATACTCCTAACAACACCCATATGGCCACCCACAAGAACGGCTTCTGGGGGTCCTATCGCTGCTGCTCCTTTATAAATTACTGGGAAATAACCTAAAGAGCCAGCATTTGTCCCACCAATCACCCACAAATTTTCTCCTCCAAAGCAGTGACAATCAACAAAGTAATCAACCTGCCAAAACAGGAAAGGAAACTTTCCAATGGGACTTTTGGTACAAGATCTAGAATAAAACTTAATGCCTGTTTTATCCAATTTCCAGAGTGGCTTTACTCTAGAAAGACCGAATTGGAAGGAAGCTTTTAGCTTTACTAACTATTGGAAAGTTTCTTGGGGCTAAGAGATAAAGCTCCAATTTGAACTTCTAAAATGTGTTGTAACAGAAGCTAGTAAAAGAATTCAATTATGTTTTGAACTTACATGATCCAATGTCCAACTGTCTGATGCTAGTGAACGAGCATCCTCAAAGTTAGCTTCATTTGATCCATCCTTCCAATTCCATACACTGCAAGGGGTAGTAGGATAGAGTTTAGGCACTAGTCCAGGATAAATTTTGTTAATGTAAAACATTTTTAAGTTGGGTTGTCGCAGCTTTAACTACTAAATGCACAGTAGATTTGGATGGAATGCAAGTGAGGACAATCTGCTAATATCTTTTTGCATGTGATGTCATTTTGAGGGTGGATTCTGAATTATTTGTTTCATGTATTCTGCGGAAGTAAAAATGGGTCATAATTCACTCATTGTAACCAAAGAGAACAGAGCAGAGTCCATCTCCCAATATCTTGCAAATTTCAGAAACAAATCCTCATAATTAATGAATCAAGTACAAAGATACCTTAAGGTCTCAATGTTTGTCAAACACCAGAGCTTCTCATAAGACTCACCAAAAAACCCAACTTTCCCAATTGAAGTTCCTACATTGATCACCTGAAATAATGAGATAAAAATTAAATTAGATTCTGATAAGAATTTTGCCAAACCAGTGCCACGAAACTATGCATTCTGTAAACTATTAAGTCAAGCTAAAAATTTTAAAATTTTAAGATT